TGGTTATCCTCCCACCACCTGCAGGCTCTCTCGCGGTGCCACGGCTCCCACCCCCGGTGTGGTGAGCGGCACCGTCTCTGCCTGACTTGCTGTGCAGTGCGGCTGATGGTGTACCAGCTTTATCAGCCTTCTCAAGGAAAGAGCCCTGGCTTATTTGATTTTTATCTTCCTTTCTGTTACCCGTTTCACTGACTTTCCACTTTGGTCTTTGCTACTGTCTTTCTTCTTCCAGTTTAATGTGCTTCCTAGTTTCTTCAGCTGGAAGCTGAGGCCACTTAGTTGAGAACTCTCTTCTTCTCTAACAAGCACACGCAGTGCCACAAACTTCTCCCTCGGAACTGATTCAGCAGCGTCCCCCACGTTTTGATTTGTTGTATTTTCACTTTCATATGAGTCAAAATATTTTCTGATTTCCTCCTTTCTTCATTATTTTTTGACTTACGGGTTATTTAGAAGTCTATTTCTTCTCTAAATAGTTGGGGATTTTACAAGGACTTTCTGTCACTGCATTTTTCGTTTAATTCCACCGTGGTCAGAAAATACCCAATTTGTTATTTGAAGTTTTTCAAAGCCGTAGAAATTTGCTTTGTAGCCTTTATAGGTCTATCTTAGCAAATGTGATTTATCTTGGTACATGTTTTGCATTCACTTAAAAAGAAGGTTTGTTTTGTTTGAGAGTGGAGTGTTCTTTCAATGTCAAATAGCTCAAATTGGTTAATGATGCTGTTCGAATACTCCACATCTTCTCTGATTTTCCGTCTGCCTGTGCTGTAGGTTACTGAGAAGGGCTATTCAAATCTCAGGCTGTAGGATTCCATTAAGATTTGTCTGTTTCCGCAGGTCAATCACTCTTTGCTTCATACATTTTAAAGGTCTACTATCAGGTGCATACACATTTAGGATCATTTGACTCTTTGATCTTTATGACATGATCCTCATTAACAATCCCTGGCCGTATGCTTTGATCCTGAATCTATTTTATGGAATTAACACAACTGCTGCAGCTTTCTTTTGATTAACGTTAGCTTAATATAGCTTTTCCCCTCTTTTTACTTTTAACCTGTTTTCTTCTTATGTTTAAACTGCATTTCTCATAGGCAGCATAACGTTGGGTCTATTTTTTTTTTTAAACTCGGTCCACTAGTCTCTGACTTTTGACTGGAGTGTGCGGACAGCTTGGGTTTAGTGTGACTACTGATGCAGTGGGTTTCACCTGTCCTCTTGCTGTTGCTGCCAGCTTGTCGCACGTCCTTCTTCCCCTTTCCCCGTTTTCCGCCTTCTTTTGGATTTGTTGCTTTTATGTATGATTCCATTTTTCCCTTTGTTGCCTCATTAGCGCAGCTCCTTGTTTTGCATCTTAGGGCTTATAGTCTACCATCTTTAACTTATCACGGTCTGTCTTGAAACAACAGTGGCTACTTTGTCCTGCAAGCACCTCAGATAGACGTTGCCATTTCTCCCTGGATGGGGCACATACTCACTCTGGAGGAGTTATTGTAATTGTGTATAAACAACTAAGATCTTTCCAGGATCCAAAAAAAGGTGATACCCATGAATAACAAGTAGATGAAGCCATTATGTTTTTAAATTGAGATACATGAAATCAAGGTGAAAATTGTGCCCAGATTCCTCAGAATTTAAAGGCAACCAGAGGCTGGTGTGAATTTTCCATGTAAGCATGTTGCTCTAGTATGGGCACTTTCTTCCTTCCTTCCTTCCTCCCTCCCTTCCTTCCTCCCTCCCTCCCCCATCTCCTCTTTCTTTTCTCTTTTTTCTTTCCTCTTTCTTTCTTCCTTTCTTCCTCTCTTCCTCTCTTTCTCTCTCTTTCTCCCTTTTTCTCTTTCTTTCTCTCTCTCTCTTTCCTTTCCTCCTTTCCTTTTCTCTCTTCCTCCCTCCTTCTTTCTGCTCTAAAATGTGGGTGCGTGAGTCAGTTTGTATTCTCCAAGAAGCTGATGCCAAGTGGGATAAGTTTTTTAGCAGTTTATTGTGGGGATGCCCATGAAAGAGTAATGGGGGAGTGGGAGTGGGGAAGAGCCTTAACGTGGCCAGGCTGACCATACTCATGTGAGTTAGCTGTAAGGAGGGAGGGCCAGATGAGCAGTGGCTCTGCCCCTGGCACAGCTCTGAGAAGGCCTGGGGCAGATGGATGGGGTGCCCTGAGCAAATGGCGGGTGTCTGTCAGGAATGGCCCTGCCCTCGCACCCCTGCTGTGCTTGGTCAACTGCTGGGGGTGGCCTGGCGTGGATGCCGCGGTCCATCCAAGAGTGGCAGCAGGAACCCATTGCGGGTTCTCATGGGGGTGGCCTGCCTGGCCAGGATGGCCCCAGCATGGAGGAGCAAAGGAAACACTGTTCACTGCCCCCAGGATCCCACCCTGGAGGGAGGGCCATGGCCGCGGAGGAGAGGGCGGGATGTGGCTGGGCTGCAGAGCGCAGGCCTCCTGGGGCCTTATGGTTGACGGTGGGGTGCCGGGCCGCCTCAGCCACGGGGAGCGGCGGGAGGGCTGGGCGGCGCAGATCTCGGCGGGAACTCAGGGTGGCTGCTCCGGGTCTTGCCAGGCCCCGACTCCGAGGTCTTCTGGTTCTCTTACCATGAAAGGTCACGGGAGGTTCCGCTGGGAGTCCTGGGGTTGTATGCACCCTCCCCCCAGCCCCTGCCGCCACCGTACTCAGAGCAGTAGGGATGACAGATGAAGAAGCTTATGAAGTCGAGAAGTAAGGTCATCAGGCCAGGTAGGCAGGTCCTTCCCCGGGAGCAGAGAAGCGGTGGGGCCGCAGTGGGGACTGGGCAGGGAGAAAGGGGCGGGGTGGAGGGGGGCGGGGTGTCGCGGGGCGGGGCTGCAGGAAAGGCTCGGCTTGGAGAAGGGGCGGGGTGGAGGAGGGGTGGGAATGGGAGAAGCCGCTGGGCTAGGAGAGACAGGACCCGCTTCCACGACTCAGGCCTGCGCGTAGGTTCTGGGATGACCGTGGCAGCAACTCCTGAGAGACCCCAGAGGACGTGGAGTCCCTGTTCTTGGTGACACAGAGGAGATGGTCTCCAGGTCTTTTCTGGGGGTTAAACTCCTGGAGGACGCCAAATGCTAGTATCGCTGAGCTCAGCCCCTCAGCTGAGGCACCCTAGAGCCCGGCTAGCCCTGGGGGGGACGGGCCCGGTCAGCAGCCGGACTTCTAGGCCGAGTCGGGGACACAGCAGGCCGAGCGGGAGCACCTGGGGCGGCAGAGCGCACGGAAGAGGAGGGTCTGCAGCTGGACGAGGGGCAGGGGGTGGGCTCA